TAATTCGGCAATAAAAAGGAATGAAGTGCTGACACATGCTACAGTGTGGATGAACCTTCAAAACATTATGCTAAGTGAAAGAAGCCAATCACAAAATACTACATATTATATGACTCCATTTGCAGTAGAGCTTCAGTATTTACAGATTCTGTATTTACAAATTCCCCTACTCACTAAAATTTGTGTGTAACCCCAAAACCATTACTCGTTGCACTTCCATGATCATTCGCAGATGTGCATAGAGTCGCAGAAGGTCAGAGTCATCTGTCAGCTGAGATTGACAGAGTAGTACTCTGGCTTCTTGTCTCATAATGTCAACAGGAGTACTTTTTGCAATCTGTTTAGAGCCACATTTTTTTGCATTTTTGTTGGTTATTTGCTGCTTTAAAATGGCCCCTATGCATAGTGCTGAAGTGCTGTGTACTATTTCCAAGGAGCATTGTTCCCTCCAGGAGCAATGATTCTGTGTTTGCTAATTCATTGTTTGCAGCAATTTTATAGAATACAACTATAGCAAATAAGAAGAATTGACTACATATGAAATGTCCAGAATAGACAAACCTATAGAGACAAAGTAGATTAGTAGTTGCCTAGGATTGAGGGTAGAGCAGGAAATGGGAAGTGACTGCTAATGAATATGGGGTCTCTTTTTGGGGTGATGAACGTGTTCTGGCATTACATATGGTGATAGTTGTACACCTCTGTGAGTATACAAAACCATTTAATTTTAAACTTGCAATTGGTGAATTTTGTGATATGTGAATTGTATCTCAATAGAACTATTTAAATAAAGACATTTGAGGGTAATGGATAGGTTTTGAATATCAATTGGATAATAAATGATACGGAATTGTTTTTGTTTTTTTTAAAGATTTTATTGGGGAATTGAGGGAGGGGAACAGCGCTGGGGAATCGGGGGAAGGGGAACAGACAAGTAGCTGCCCTTTTGTTCTTCAGTCAAGTTGTGGAGGACGTTGCTTCACTGGCCCATGTTGGTATTATCATTGCGCTCTTCCTGGGTGAGGCAGATCGGTCGCTGGCTTCTGGATGGCCGTTCACAGCAGCTCTTGGCAGCTCACACCGGCTGCCGGCCACTCACGCTGGCTGCTGGCCACACACTGTAGCTTATGGCAGCCCACTGCAGCAGGGGCTACAGCCTATNGCCGGAGCCTGAGATTTAACCCTATACGGTCCTCAGAGGGAACGGGGAAGACTAAAGACAACGCACCTATTGCGCAAGAAATTCTGTTCCCCGAGGAAACGAGAACTTTAGAACGAAAGTACCAGCCCCCTCTCAGGAGGACTGAGTGAACTGTCCCCTGCTTATTAGCAGAAATACCAGTAAAACTGCCTGGCCAGCTGCCACACACGCCGCCTCTCCCACGGGTGTAGGAGTGCTTGAGACACAATTCCGGGCCTAAGCTGGAGAAACCCCACAGAAGCCTCTAAGGGACTCCGACGTCTAAGACATTTGTAGCCGCTGCCCGAAATATCGATGAACCCTTACCTTATCGATGGAGTTTAGAATGGAAATTTTTTCTAGGGCAGATGAGAGCATTTCTCCCCCCACGAATTAGTGGCATCCTCCTGTCCTCTGGTCCTAGCTGGCAAAGCACCACAGCCAAGTGCTGACTGCAGGGGTGGGCGGGGTGGAAGGCTCGGTGTTCTGCCTATTGTGCCTGGCGCGTGAGGTGCTGGTGCACTCAGGCCTGGAGAGTCCAAACTCCCAGCGGCAGCCGAGAGGAAGCGGAGGAGATGGCGTCCCAGCCGCCGCCTCCCCCGAAGCCCTGGGAGATCCGCCGAATTCCAGGGGCCGGGCCGGGCCCAGGACCCGGCCCCAATTTCCAGTGAGTGTGGGATACTTCAGGCCGCGAGTTTGGTGGGCTGGAGTGGGGACTTGGCTGGAGGCGGTTGAGGCCGTTGTTGGGGCCAGGTTTCCCCTCCCCCTCTCTACCAGCCCCCAGCCTTGAGGGGTAGAGGCGGGGCCGGGGGGGGGGCCTAGGAGGGGAATTTCGTTGTCTGACAGCAGTTTCTGACCCGACTTCTCTCGGTAGAGACGTTCTTCAGGGAGCTCCTTGTTGCCTCTCTGGGTCCCAGTGCTTGGAAGAAAGGGAGCGGCTTTCTACCCCCTTTCTATTTGCGGGACACCTTGACGGTACCGCTTGACTCCCTTTAAAGCGTTAGACTCTTGCCCTGTAACAGATGAGCGTGGCGTTTGCCTAGTCCCAGCTCGATGAGGAGAGAAGTCTCTAAAGCTTTTAACCACCCGAGTTGGGGATAGCCCAAAAGGTCACTTTTACGCAACTGGAACCCAAGCCTTTACACTTTGCGTTCTTTTCCAGCATAATCCAGCAGTGTTTTGGGCAGAGATTTTGAGAAGCAAGAAAGTTCTAAATCAGGCTTGTGAATGGCCTTTGTGTGCAAAATAGTGTGTGATTTTTCTAAGGCCTGTGGTTTTTGTTTTTAATCGGTATTAAATGGATCTACAACTCAAAAGTTGAAATATTATACAATAAAAGAGAAGAGTTTCACAGGCTTATGTGTTTTGTGTTGAGTGGATCTGGACATCTTGGGTGGATCTGGACATCTTGATTCAGATGATTAGACTCGAATGTCACAACACGTAACACAAAAATCCCTAACATACTGGAATGTATTTCAGCTATGTTCCGAAATCTTGTAATCTTCTATTTAAACACTTAAGATGCTTTAACACAACAGCTACTTAATTTAATAATGATAAATAATTAACAACTAATAAGCTTTAGTTATGCTGGTAAGCTGTGGTGACACTTTCTACTACCTTTTTTATGAGTAGTTTGACTTATTAAAAAATCTAGACAGCTCTTTGGAAGAGAGAAGTTTTATTTTTGCATTTGTTAAAGTTCTGTTTACGTAAAATTAACCATTTTCCGACTTTTTTTTATTGTCGAATTATTTTTAACCACATAGAGAC